TTTTTTTTTTTTTTTTTTTTGGAACAATATTATTTCTTCGTTTCAGGCTATCGACGATGACACTGCCGAATGCGTTTGCATCGAGATATGCGACAAAGAGATCGATCCAAGACGAAAAGTTTGCACTAATCACAATGAAACATTCGGAAGCGATTGCGAGGTCTATCAAGCGCGTTGTTTCTGCGACACCAATGATCCCAGATGCAGAGGCACTAAATATCAACACGTTCATGTCGTGTACTACGGTGAATGTCGACAAATGCCTGTATGTATTTATCGCCCTCATTGGTGGAAGTTATCAAAATGATAGATCGAAAAAATAAATTCGTATTTTTTGCAATACGCTATAAATAAGTAAGAGAAATATTAAATATAGTTGTTGTTGTTGTGCAATGTTTATATCGTCATATATTATTTATTTTAGTAAAATGTTCTCTAATTATCAACCATTGATATAATGGAATACTATCTATAATCAGAGGTATATCTTATCTATTGTGTATTGTGTATTGTTGTTTTACTGGAGAAATGATTTAATTATAATATTATATTTACGTTCGTATTCTTTATATTACATATTTGAATTACTTAATCTCATTATCTGAGAATATGAGTTATGATATGGTATGATAGAATATGGTTGTTTTAATAATATATTATTATTAAACAAAAATTATATATAGAAATAAACTAAATTGTAGAAGACAATACATTTTTCAACATTAAAATTTTATTATTTATCTACATATAGTTATAAAATTTGAAAAATTTCTAGAAAATTTTGCTTTTCTATATATAGGCATACAGTTTTAAACATGAATATATATTATATTTTATGTAAAATATTTTATACGTAAACTAAAATTATAATAATTTATGATAATTTATAAGAGATATAAAATTTTTTATAATTAAATCCTTTAAAATTTATCAATTAAATTTTAGAATAATTAAATAGATTAGTAATTATATAAAAACGAATAAAAAGATTCAGAAAAAAATTTTCAAAAAAGTTTATCATTTTTATTTTGACTTTTTATTATTATAGGAATGCAAACCAGAAGACATGGCCGACTTTCCAAGGCGAATGCGCGACTGGCTGTTTAACATCATGAGAGACCTTGCTGATCGTCAAGAATTACCATCTCATTACCTGAAAATGCAACGAGAAGCGGAAACAAATCATACGTTACGCTGGACTAATGCCGCCATTTGGAAATGGTGTGACTTGGATGGTCACCCTCATGACAGGGCTGTTTCCAGGCACGAACTTTTCCCCATCAAAGCACCGTTAATGGCTCTCGAACATTGTATTGCACCGTTCCTAGACTCATGCGATATTGATGGCGACCATAAAATTACCCTCATCGAATGGGGTAAATGTTTAGAACTTAATGAGGTAAACTTTTTTTTTTTATATAAATTATATTATAATAATATTATAAATTATAATTAGGATTCTTAAGTCTTTAAAATATTGTTTTGAATAATTGTCCATTGTCTCATATAAAATTCAATATTTAAATATTTGCTTACATTTTATTAATTATTAATAATCGGAAAATTTAATATTGGTATTAAATTAATTAAATAATTATTTCTTAATATGCTGTTTATGTATACTTTTTAATTTTCTTGTTTTACTGTTTTATCTAAATTTGACTTTTGTGTATACAAGATTTATTGTTATCTTCTACACTATCTTTGAGTATTTCACGTGTTTTTCACAAATGAAAATATATCAATTCAAAAAATGAATAAAATAAGTACAATAAATATATCTTAAATGTAATTAAAAGGAATAATCTTTAGAAATAGTGGTATTTTTAAATTTTAAAAATAATGCTTTTTGTTTCATTCGTCTGCCAAAATATGTCGAAGCGTCATACTGAAATGATATTGATTCCCATTGTAGGAGGATTTGGACGATAAGTGCGATGAGCTGGCCGAAACGAAGAATTCTGAGCAATAATAACTATGATAAATTCCTATGATAAGCGTGGTGGTTATGACCACGGGATATGTAAACGGGTAGAACAAAAAGAAGGGTAAACATACGACGTAATGTACTAATGAAAGGGCGAGGAATGAGAAAAATGGCGGGAAAAGTTGCAAGTAAACTGCTGCACTCGGCAACGCGCATGTCTGCGCAGAGACCTCGTCGATATTGCAACCCATCCGTAATGGTCGTGCCAACCGCAGTTTTAGACAGTGCTCTCTAATAATATAGAGATGTGTACGCTAGAAATTAAATCGCGATAAATTCACAATAATTTTTTAAATATTTGCAAATTATTTGTTGTCATATGATGGTTCAAATAGAAACGCGTTACACCTGCTCGTTTCCTCTCCCTATAGTATAATCTTGATATTATCCTCGTAGCAACAACGTACGTATTTTCTATATATATACATATATACATACATACCTTTTGTATAAATTTATTATGTGACTGCCTTTCTATCAATAAAGAGTGATACAGTTTCTTTCATCTGCGCAATACTAATCCATTATATATTATGCTTTATGATGTCAACGGTTAAATCAAAGGAAATGCAAATGTTTCATTTATATTTCAGGAATAATTTAGTTTCTGTAGATAATGAAGATCGAAGTATTAAAGTTATTTTATCTTTCGTGTTAAAGAGATTCCTTCGTTATTTTTTTATTTTATTCGATTTAATATTTAATGATATATATTGCTTATATATATATATATAATATTTTTCATTATTTAATTATAAAAAATATGAATATAAATATGCATTATAGATCTATTAAAGTTTTGATCTAAAATTAAATTTTTAATATTATTTTATTTTGTTATACTTCTATTGAAGAAAAGAACAAATTATTGAAATTATAATCTGAAGTTTATCAATTATTTCAAAATTTAAACTTTAAAATAACCGGTATTGTATCGTTAGCATATTGAATTTTTTAAAAAGGCAATTACTTTTTTACGGTAATTATATAAATACATTTGAAAAATTTTACTTTCATATATTATATTATCTATAATGTTCGTTATTTTATCGAAAAATATATTTTAGAAATATCATAGAGGTAAAATTTATTTATTATTTAATTACGTATGTATAATATTATCTACTGGTGAGGTAGTAGATACGAGAAAGTTACTATATAAAAAAATAAATTGATTTTTTTTTTAATTTTTATTAATTTTATATATATTTATTATTTATAATAATTATAATTATATTTCCTGTTCATTGTTATAGAACAAAATTTTATATACATAAAAAAATATAAAGAATAGAAAGCTTGGATTTAAAATTTTAAATGAAGTCATTTTGATATAGAGATAATGCATACGTAGAAAAATATGAAATTAAAATTAAGTGATCAGTTGGATCTAAAATTATAAGAGTTTAGGAAGTGTCTGATAAGTTGAAAATAAACGGTAAGTGGCCGACGTGAATAATAACGCAGTGTACCTTAGACAGTATGGAAAATTACTCTGTGTATACGATGCAATGTTCAAGTGATACAAGATAGAAACGTTAGTCTCCTACCAGAACCATAGTAACGAATCAAGACCAATAGATGGCGAAGAGGCATTTCATTGTGTCTCTATAATTGGTGTGTTTTAGTCACGTGGGGTGATCGCGGGACGCGCCGACAGCGCCAAGCGCATTTGGCGGGACCGCGCTTAGACGGCGTCGTCTGTGCTTCAGGCAAGTCTGTCGTGTAGTGAACCGCAAAGGCTCTTGTCGGACAATGGTGAGTATCCGCAAGTTTTCAGCGGATCCTTTAGCCATCCATATTTTCTAATCACATCATTATATTCTATGATGTTCATACTTTCTTCTAGCGAAATTTCGTGCTTGTATCTTGTAAATTAACCATGATTTTCGTTTGTGAATAGGCTGGCGGAAAGGCGGGCAAGGACTCTGGTAAAGCGAAGGCGAAGGCGGTCTCTCGTTCGGCGAGAGCCGGCTTGCAGGTGAGTTTATTGCTTGCTGCTTAGTTAAGTCAAATGCGTAGAATATAATTTTGTCAACATTATTTTCTGATAAATAACATTTACATGATTATTTTAGTAGATTTTAATGATAAACAGGTTAAAACATTGTGGTTGGCGCGAAAAACTGAGGCGTTTTTAGATACCTAATGAAAAATTCATTTTTTTGAAGTTTTTGTGATTTTTGTGTGAATAAAATATGTGAAAGTGATCTATTTAAGTTCAATTTATACATATTGTGCCAAATAGTTAAATAATACTTCGAAAAAGTCTATTATTTTTTGAATTAAAGTTATGGTGATTACGTCTAAGTTCGGAAGTTTTCAAACGAGACGGTTGAGTTTGTACTACACCCCCCTCCTCTCTCATATCTTTCAATTCAGTTACTAATATGACTTTTATTCAAATATATTTTTTTTCAATAATTACTAAAAATAGCTTAATACGAATCATCGTAATTATTTTCGTTTCAATCATATTATGTCAATTCTGTCAAGATAATTTAAACTGACAGTAAATATAACTTATTTTTGTATTCAATTACACTTATCTATCTTGAAATTCAGTTAATATTAATATTTATATTATATTTATATTGAAATTACATCTTTTTATTTATTTATTTATTTAAATATTTGATTAATATAATAATTAATTTGATTTGAAAAATTTTATTTTTTATGCAAGAATTTATATGCAAACAAACAAACGTGACGATAATTAAATATGAATATACTTGATATAATTAAACATAATATTTTATAAAAAAAAATATTTTTTTGATAATTATTCATATTCAATGTTATATATTAATAGTTTCTTTCGGGTAATTATTTATATACAAATAAATAAAACAGGGCGTTTACTAATGAATGACGAAACCACGTACTAAACTGGAAAGCTCGGGAAAGCCGAATCATCGTGTGTCGCTCGATATTCGTTGTATTAAAAGAGAATCGAGTTATGTATGCTGTTCTATGTGTGTAGATAAAATTGGTTTTTGTTTTAGAAGAATTGGATATATGATGAATTTATAAATAATTATTGCGGGAAAAATGTTAGAAACGTATAATATTACGAAAAATTGTGTCATTTCTCGTTCGATATTTGTTATACGAAAAGCTGCTGACGCTGAGTGACCTCATGTTATTTGAACGGACATTATACATGATGCGTCCTAACCCAAAAATATTTACCTTGCCACGAAAGCAAAATTACTGTCAGACATAATAATTTTTACCTAATACTAATCATAGTACGAATGTTTTTTCCAGTTTCCGGTTGGTAGAATTCACAGGCATTTGAAAAACAGAACCACAAGTCATGGTCGAGTCGGTGCTACAGCAGCGGTATACAGTGCAGCTATCTTGGAATACCTCACTGCTGAGGTGAGTGAGAATATATGTGAAAGAAGAAAGCATTCGCAAAACAAAGAGAGAAAGACAAAGAAAGAAAGGCAAATACGCACATAGGAAGATCAGCCGTTATAACCAGGACTATATGCGTTGGCATCACTAGCGACTGATGGCGTCACTAACGCCAAGCATCATGGCCGATTTTTCCCGCCTTTTCGTCAACCGTAGGCAAATAAGGAACAACATATTTTGCTTATCGTGTTATATAGAATTTCACTTTTATCTTTTTCATTTTTTTTTTAAAAGGAACTCTTTCCATTAGAGAAATATTATCATATAATTACATGATAAACAGTATCTTTATAGATAAACAATATTTGTTCGAATAATATTTATAATTTATAATTATTTTTGCGATCTTAAAATATTTCTAATATTATTATTATAATAATAATATTAATAAACAGTCATATGCGAATATTTTTTATACATTCTTAAGTTTTCATATTTTTTTTCCCTATATATAAGGTGTTTTGTAGTGTGCTAATAGATTCACAAAAAGTATATATTATTATATATGTTATAAAACAACATTTTGTATGTTTTAGGTTCTTGAATTGGCAGGAAATGCATCAAAAGATTTGAAAGTCAAACGTATCACACCAAGACATCTTCAGCTTGCTATTCGTGGTGATGAAGAATTAGATAGTCTCATTAAAGCAACTATTGCAGGAGGAGGTATGTGTTTTTTTATTATTCACATGCTTAGACAATCATCTTGTCATAAAAAATCAAATTTAACCTATTATTATTCTCTTAAGAAATAATTAATTTTGATTTTCAAGTTGCAGTATATAAAATGTTATATAATAATATATAAAAAGTTATTTTGTAATTATTTGGATATTTGAAATTATTAATTATTATTATTATTAATTATTTTAATAGAATTATCAGGATATACTTAAAGATTATTTACTTAATAATTGCAAGAAATTTTATTCTTGTTATAAATAAATAATAGAATTCTATATTATATATTTATAATTAAACTTAAGTAATGATAATTTTTTTTATTTTAATTTTATTTTGTTACAGGTGTTATTCCACATATCCACAAATCTTTGATTGGAAAGAAAGGTTCACAGAAACCAGCATAATTATTTAGTGATTCATTTAAAAACATTTGAAGCTATGTAGACAAAACAGATGCGAAACAGCAGAGTGATTGTTGACAAAGTGTACCTACGTTACTAAATTGATGACGAGACTGGCGTGATATACATACGTATATATATATATATATAATTATATATATATATATAAAGATAAATATAAATATATATAAATATATATAGATATATAGATATATAAATAAAACAAATATTGATATAATTTAATATAGGTAATGAGAGCTAAAGAAGAAAAAAATTTTCACTATGTAATTGGCATTTGGAAAAGTTAATATAGGTCTAAAAATTTTAGTGTACGCTACACTGTAATTAATTGACGAGCGATGCGTTGTAGCATGGCTTGTTCAAAACTATAAAAGTCTTGATACTGTGTGCGGATACTAAATATTTTTAAAGTTGGAGTATTTAAGAGCTTGGATGTGTCGTAAAATACTTTTGAAAGAAAAATTTTTTTTATCTTCGTCTTCATCAAAACTATTTGAACTTTATCTCTTTAGACTATTGCTCTTAAAAATATTAATATAAAAACATAACAATTAATTAATATAATAGCATAACAATTATCGAGAAAATGTGTAATATGAACAAGTATTATATAATAAAAATTTCTTAAATTTTTTTATCTTTAATTTTTTAAATTTTTAATCTTTACTCACATTTTCTCATATAACTATAAGAATCGTATAATTATAATTATGAATAAAAATACGTACTCATTCTTGTTATTAAATACTCTTAACTATCTTACAGCAGTATACAGTGTGCATAACACCTTTAGATTAAATTTTTAATTTTGGACACTTTATATTCTAAAATTTGTATTGCCAAATATGTTTGATTAAATTTTTAAAGTTTTCAGTCTCTGTAACATTAATGTAGGTATATAAGATTATAGTGAGAAATAATAGTTCTGTGAACATTGTTTCCATTTTTCTAATTTTATGAAAGTATTCTCATCTGAATCACATTTAATGAAGTTATGCAATAAAGTGTAATTTGTGGCATAGTGTATTTATGCTCACGATTATGAGACTGGAATCTTTGAAACTAATAGGCTTTTACTCATATAAAGGTAAAAGAAAAATATTTCGGCATTGCAAAGCCTTTGATGTAATATATAATCTTTATTCCAGTAGTGTTCAATCAACGTGAAATCCATAGTAGAAATATTCAATCAATCTAAAACGAAACAATGTATGTTTTTAGTTAAAACAATTTCTTCTTTGATTCTGTTCATATCATTTTTCATTTTATTCATAAAACTATTGTTACTTGTGTCATTTAGTGTAATGTTCGCTGTACGTACGGTATTATACCGTATAATAAATACCAGCCATATGTAAAATGTTCATTTTCATAATAAAGAGCAATTTTACTATTAAGTATCGTTTAATCACTAAAAATTATTGAATTAAGGTAAAATATACTTATGTAATTTATATTTAATATCTTTTTTTAAAAATCGTTGAATTTAAAGTTTATTACATCAAAATTATCTAATATATAATCAAGAGGCTGTAACAACGAATAATTTTTATAACTGTATTATTGTACACAAATATTTTCGTATTATAAGTAAACAAATTATAAATACATTTTTTGTTTTTAAAAAATAGCGTTTTTAGTTAAAATTTAAAACTATATTAGTTTTGGTGTTGCAAAGATATACATATATATATAAATAAAAACTTTTTCAATTATTAAATAATAAAAAAAAGAAAATGAAAGCTATTTAAAAATTGAATGATCATCTTATAGTGATGTATAAACATAAATATATTTATTTGTAAGCTTTATAATGTACGCTATTTTACAAATATTAGCAATACTGTAATATAAATATTGTTATTTACAAAATAAGATGATAATTGAGAAATAATTATTTTTTTCACTTTTTTTTTTTTTAGTCCGTCTTCAAATTATATCAACATATTCATGTTCAGTGCTGCCATCATACTGGGAGCGGTCTCCTATTACTTTTCCAGTTCCCCCACCAGCAACCAATCCCATGGCTCGTTCAAAACCTTGCGGCTTTTCGCCGAGTCCGCTCATAGTGGGGTACGGTGTAGCTCCTTGCATTTGTGTAGGAGTGAGATAGCAGCAAGGAAACCGCCCCCCTCCCTACAAAGCCGGTCAGAACCTCAGTCGCCTTTCACGAGTTCGGTAGATTGGGCGGCTTGTGTCGTGAACATAATTGTAAACGTGAGCATCAACTGCTTGATACATAAATTCCATTCGTAGCAAGAACGAACAAGTCCGTTTATCGACTGCGACAGGGAACAGGATCTCTCGACGGATCGTCCTCGGATCCGTTGTGAGAGAGCCGCAAGATAGTGCACACCGGTGACAGAACGCGTGGATAATGTCAAGCAGTGTGATTGTATGATCAAGATTTTGAATATCTTCGTCTCTGCGAATATCGAAATTTCAGTCGCGGAAAAATCAGTGAAGAAGACTTGTTTCCGTTTCGTTCACGTTGCGCTGTTGCCGGTGTTTATTCTTTCTAATCGAATTTTTACGCGCGCGAAAAGGAAACAATCGATTCGAAAATCAGTGATTCGTAATTATAAACGTACCGTATTTTGTTTTGAAGCGGTCTTCTTGGTTTCGTGACAAGAGTCAGCGGTATGATATCGTTGGTATAACTTCCCACGTAGAACACCTGAATCAAGATTCTTCAAAGATGACGAGTAGACACGCGGAACAAATTTTTATTCGTGACCGGTAAGTCTTTTCTCCGTTTTCATAATCTTTGCGTGACATTGCTTTTACTTGATCAAGCTGTTAGTGAAGTTATTACTTTTATTCTGTTACGGTGAAAGGAAGATCTCGGTGTTGCATTATGGTTCACTATGAATTTACTAACGTCACGTTTCAAAGAAAACGTCTATAGAAACTTTGAAATTGTCAATTCAGTGAAAATTTACTTACGCTTTTCGTATCATTTCACTGATTTTATGAGCTCCATTATTCATTGTTATTATTGATCATGGAAAATTAATCATACAATACATGTATGTATGTATTTGAACACTAGTTGCTTCAACGAAGGTCAATGAACAGTATTGACACCTGGTTTCGATGTTTTTACGATTGTTTCCTTTCAAAATATTATAAATGCGATAATACTTTTCAGTTATTGCTTTGCAGTATATTCATTTATGAATAATTTATTTTTTTTGGAATCTTCTTAAAGGAACATTTCTTTTCTTTCATATTTTAATGAGCTTATCTAGTGAAAATTGATACAATTGTTCATTTGAATGTATATCAATTATTAAAGAACATATATGATAGGTAATAATTTTTTTATATAATTGTCAGAACTTGAAATTTAATTTATGAAAGAATAAATCATGTATACATATTTATTCATTTGTTTCGTGGTATTTTTAAAGCAATTTCTTTAATTTTATCAAAAATATATAAAAAAACAAAACAAAACAAAACAAATCAATACAATATATTGCATATATATCATATTTCGGAGTAATTAGAGTAATCTTCATTTTTATATTTATCTATCATTATCTATTTTAAAAAAAAATGTAGATTTTTGTGTGATTCTATTCTTGTGATATTACATGATAAGATTCGTAAAAAATTCATTGATTTTCATTATAGAATCATTTAATATTTAATATTGAACATGTTAATACTATTGGAGAATTTTTTTTTAATAAAAAATAAATTATTAGCTGTTCTGTAATCCATTTTCAAAATAAATAATTAATGGATTTTATTTAAAATTCTAAATTACTAAGAGAATTTAATTTAAATATATAAATAAAATACTTTTTATTATAAATATACATAATTATTTGATAATTATGTAAGAAATAGACACGATTATCTTTTATACGATATATATACAAAAATAATCGAAAAAAATAATCGAAAATTAAAAATTTAATTGTCATTTAATCATGATATTAAAATATCGAGGGAAAAATGATTGAAATTCATTAAACTTCATTTCGTGATAATCACAAACCATTATTATTCTTTATTTGTTTCTTTTAATATTAGATTTAGAATTTAATTAAATAGTTTATAACTTTGATTTAAATATTTGTAACATCATCGTTTGGTAAAATATGAAAAGAAGTAGTATAATACTCATAAATAAACGGCCATCAACATCAACTGATTCTTGAAATGAATCGAAACAAAAGATCGTTTATTTTTGAAATGCGGCAAATTTTTCTATTACATTTTGCAAAAAATATTTATTTCTTGGACGAAAAAATCCTATCATACGAAAATTATTTTCTTATTTTATTTGACTCTCATTGATTCAGATCATGTCAACATCATTTGATAGATACACTCCACAATTAAAACAATAGCATAAAATGTTCTCTACTTAATGATATACAAAATAATTAATTAATTTAAGAAATAAATGCATAAATTTATATTTATAAGAATACTTAAAAAATGATAATTTTTATTTAATTATATTAATATAATTACCAAGTACATCGTGTAGAACTCTCTCCCTTTCTCAAACGTAAAATCAAATTTTTATTTATCACATAATCATATGATTTCTTTTTTTTTTACCGAGATATACTCTTTGAAGCATATTCTGATATCACACTATCGTTATATCACGGAGAATACACACTTTCAAACATAAAAGATACAAAAAAAAAAAAAAGAAAAAAAAAAGACCGATAACTTCATTACATCAAAATCGCCATCTTTCCCTTTGTCCCGGTACTCGAAATTTATCCGAAAGATGGAACAAAGGCATGGAAAGTACCGACGAATATTTCAAAGGAATAAAAGTCGTGTAGTCTCTTCTCTTCAAACAAATGGTAACCTTATTTCAAAAACCGAATTAACTTCCAGATCTAATACGTTCGAGGCAAGTTTTATCCGAACTTGATGTATATTCATGAAGTTTCTTTTCAGTCTCGATAAGCGAAATACGGTTAATTTCGCTTGAGTTTAATATTCTTGCGAGAACGTTTGAAAATTTGTCCACGATGTTTTTGCATACCTCTCGGGCAAAAAGAATGTTTTCTGTAATCTAAATACCGGTACTTGGAACGCAAGGTCGGTTGATCGGCAACGTCATCGAGGCGATGGCAAATGTTGCGGTGAAAGTTTATCCCGCGTGTGGTAGGGATCTCCACGTTCATGCAGGAACGAACACGGAATCGTTTCTTACGTAGAACGCCTTCGCCACGGCTCGAGAATTTCACGTAGGTATAACCACGGAAAATAATTCTTCGTTATTATTTAACGTGAACTCGAAAAGCACGGTTGCATGCCTGCTCGCGGCACTTACTCGTTTATTTAGTTTTTCCGCATCGAATCATTAATTGTAACGTCGTATTTGATTTAGTCGTGTGGACATCTTCTTCTCCCCGACGATTTACGCTTGGATGAATATTATTCAATTTAATTTCTCTTGAAACTAAAATTGATATCCTTTTCTTCTTTTATTGCCATCAATTTGTAAATCTGCCAACATTATCTTTTCGTTTCGTTTCGTTACATGTCATGCCATCATTAGCATCATACGTTTC